GATTAAATTAAAGGAAATCTGGAAAACAAATATAAAGGAAAGGAAGCAATCCGATTATAAAGAAATATTACTGAAGGCAGCGAAACTCACCATTACAAATTCGACAAAAGAAGAACCGAATTGCTAAACTAATCTAGGTTGAAGCGTAAAGCTAAAATTAAATTAAAGGGCTTGAAACTAAGATGAATCTGAGTATAAAGAGAAGTTGTGCTGAGTCTGTTGTGTGAGATGTCGATCCCTTGCTTGATCTTATCACTAGGTATTTATAGCACCTTGGCAGCATGGTGGAGATCTGCGGCAGCATCCTGAAAGACCAACGGCAGCATAATATCTGCAACAAATTGATTAATTTGTTGGTGCTACCATTATCGTCCTGGAAGCTCGCAACAAGAGAACGGTTTTGCTACTGTTGTGGAAAAATATCTACCATCATGGGTGACACGTAGCAGCACTCCATTTGTTGTTAAATTAGGTGTAAACATTGCCCCCCAATTTTTGGCCTTACGAGAGTAGGTGTCAAAAATTTAGGACCTTAGTGACAGTACTCAACTTCTTTGTGCCTTTGTGCCTTTGTCTCCTTTTGCTGTTTACATTTCTTCTCTGTTTTGGAATCGGAAACGTGGCCAACTGCAACTTCTGCGACACAATTGCAATTCTTCACCACTTAGGACTCGAAAACATGATCGACTCCAATTCATTATAAAACACAGCCACTCCTCCGATAACCATCATCACATATTTGCGGCCATTTCTCTCTTTTTGTTTTTCTAGTTTTCGCATCGTCTCTGTCAAGTCATTCCAGCCATGGCCAGCCAATTTCTTGCCTAAGAGTTATAGGAAGGAGGAAGCCTCAAATCCTTCAAAGCCAAAACAAGCAAATTACTAGTTGAGCTCAAGGAAGAAGGATGTGAAGCTTTGGCTGGATGCAAAACCTTTGTTAGGTTTTTTTTTTTTTACATCATTCATCCTTGTCACGGCCATTAAGCCGCTTGAACATTTGTTTCCAGACTTCTTTTATTTTTCTTCTTCTAATGATGAACATGAATTTATTTACTTGCTTTATTCATGCTGCCCACAGCTTTATAAACAAAGCCGCTCTAAAACACTAATGTAAGAACATGACATGCCTCCTTAGCAGCACCAAGTCTTATGTATGCTTCCATGGTTCAAGCCAAAACTCTACGTGTCCTTATTGAAAGAAAAACAACTTGAATAAAATAATATACAAATGTCTGCAAACCTGGATCATGCAGACGTGGAGGCAGAACTATCCCTTGCCTCCCACACAGTCGGATAATATGGTTTCAAGTAGATGCCATTGATCTTGTGCGGATGCAACTCCCCATTCAAAGATTTTAACCAATAAGCACCTCATTTAAGAACTTTATGAATTTGGAATGGTCCTTCCCAATTAGGGGACCACTTACCATATCTGGGATCCTTTTTGCCAAGCGGCAGCACAGCTTTCCAAACCAACCTTCCTTTAGCTAAATTCTTTTGCTTGACCCTTTTATTGTAAGCTCGTGCCACTTTAAGCTTCTGGGCCTTCATCACATCCAATGCTGTCAGCCTTGCTTCCTTAAGGTCTTCCAACTCCATGATCATGGCCTCATTGTATTCCCCAGAATTCAAGCCATTTTGAATTGCAATCTGCAGAGACCTTGCCGTTAATTCCATAGGCAAGACAACATCATGACCATAAGTAAGTGAGAATGGAGTCACCTTAGTTGAACTCCGTTGTGAGGTTCTGTATGCCCAGAGAGTATCTGAAAGAAGCTCATGCCATCTCTTGGGATTATCATCAACCATTTTCTCCAGGATGTTGATGATAATCTTATTAGATGCCTCTGCTTGACCATTTGCTTGTGCATAATGCGGAGTTGAATTAAGCAAATGAAATCCCATGTCTTTTGCAAAGGCCTCTACTTGAGATCCAACCAAAGCAGTACCTTGATTAGAAGTGATAGTCTCTGGAAGACCAAACCTGTGGATCAGATCCTCTTTTATGAACTTGATGACATCTCCTTGATCAACCTTCTTCATAGGCCTTGCCTCCACCCACTTAGTAAAGTAGTCTGTAGCAACTATTATGAAAGAATGACCTTTAGAAGAAGGTGGATAAATTTTCCCAATCAAATCAATTGCCCAGCCACGAAAAGGCCATGGCTTGACAATAGGATGTAACTCAGAAGCTGGCACTCATTGCAAAGGACCATGCAGCTGACAAGCTCTACAGCCCTTCGCATAATTGATGTAATCCTTAAGAATAGATGGCCAAAAGAAACCATGCCTTCGAATTAGCCATCTCATCTTAATCCCTGCCTGATGAGTAGCGCAACAATAATTCATCCTGCCCCCTACGATACAGAACATCCCCGAGTAGCACATAGTTTAAAGCTTGCATCCTTGTTCTCCTTGATGTTTTAGAACTGGGATTCCTCAAATGTTCTATTATTGGATGCCTCCAGTTTGTAAGTGTGACATCTAGTGAGCATGCTTCCACCGTTATTCCTCTTTGATGAATTGAAGGCAGCATACGTTTTTCAATGACAATGACTTTCTCCAAGATGCCTTCAGGCATTTTTACACGTGAAGCAATCTGTGCAAGTTCATTTGCTTCAATATTCATGTTGCGAGGAATATGCTTCAGGGAGACATCATCAAATTCCTCCAGTAGTTGGATGGCAGTGGCAAAATATGGAGACAAAGCCACGCTTGTACACTTGTACTCGCTACTCAACTGCTTGAGAACTAATTGAGAATCACCCACAATTTCAACCGATGGCACCTTCAACTCTACCAACAACTCAAGGCCAATTACTAAAGCTTCATATTCTGCTTGGTTATTGGTGCATTCAAAATCTAACTGAAAACACTATTGGGTTTTTATGCCATCTGGAGAAACAATACTAATTCCAGCCTCAGAGGCTTGATCAGTGCTAGACCCATCAAAAATAAGCCTCCAAGGAACCAAGTCAATCGAAAAGAGATTGATTCCCTTGTCTTCATCAGCATTAACATCTAAACAAGGATGATATGCTAAAAAGTCTGCTAAAGCCTGTCCTGTGACGGCCTTTTGAGGCAAATATCTCAGATTAAATTCAGTAAGTGCAAGAATCCACTTACCAATGCGGCCTCTTAAGAGTGGCCGCGACAGCATGTATTTTATGACATCAGTTTTTGAAACAACAAACACCTCCGAATATAATAAATAGTGCCTCAATTTTATTGCTGCAAAAAACAAAGCCAAACACAATTTCTCAACCGAAGAATATTTCACTTCGGTCGGATTCAAAGCTCTACTCAAATAATAAACAGCTTGTTCTTGTTTATTACTATTCTCTTGCGCCAGCAGACAGCCAATTGACTCATCTGCGGCGGATATATACAGCAATAAAGGTTTATTCTTAACTGGAGGAACCAACACAGGTAGCTTAGACAAGTATTCCTTGATGGCATCAAGGGCGGCTTGGTGCTGCCTCTCCCATTTAAAATATGCATCTGGTTGCAACTTCAAAAGAGGTGAAAAGACACGAGTTTTGCCCGTCAAATTAGAGATAAACCTCCTTAGGAAATTAACTTGACCAAGAAACCTTTGTAATTCCTTTTTATTTTGTGGTGGCCGTGCTTCAATTACGGCCCTTGCTTTGTTTTTGTCCACCTCTAGGCCTCGTTCATGAACTAGAAAACCCAAAAAATTCCCTGCTGTAACACCAAAAGCACACTTGAGAGGATTCATCTTCAAACCATGCTGTCGCATTCTTTCAAAAGCTTTCCTCAAGTGCTCCAAATGTTCTTCATCCTCCATGGATTTAACAACAACATCATCGATATAAATCTCCATGAAGCGGCCAATCATATCATGGAAAATTACATTCATGGCCTGCTGATATGTAGCTCATGCATTTTTCAACCTAAACGGCATCACGACTCATTCATACGTACCTATATTTCCAGGGCAACGAAACGCCGTTTTACTTATGTCTTCCTCTGCAATAAAGATCTGATTATAGCCACTATGCCTATCCATAAAAGATAAAATGCGATGGCGCGCAACCCCATCAACAAGTAAATCTGTTACTGGCATGGGGTATTCATCCTTTGGTGTGGCTAGATTTAAGTTCCGAAAATCAATGCAGACTCTGAGCTTTCCATTCTTCTTCACTACTGGAACAATATTAGACAACTATTCTGAGTACCTGGCTGTCCGTATAAAACCAACTTTATGCAGCCGCTCCACTTCTTCCTTCACCTTCAAAATCACTTCTGGAGACATACGACGTGGCAGCTATTTGTACGGCTTATATCCTTTGTTGATTGGTAGTCTATGCTCTACCAACTCTCTGTCTAAACCTGGCATCTCAGAATAATCACAGGCAAAGCAGTCTTTGAATTCATGTAGTAAACAGATTATTTGATCTCGCATCTCTGGCGGCAGCAAGCCACTAACAAAAGTAATGCGTGGCTCTGCCTCCGTTCCCAGATTAACTTCCTTCAATGGATCTTGTACATCAGCCCTGAGGTCATCCAGCTTTGCAGGGGCCAAATCTAACTCCTCCATTGTGATTCCGTCGGTATGGGTATCCTTTTCACCTTCATGTACCACCTCCGACAGATTTGCTTATGTATTCCTTTTAGCAAAATAGGCCGCTAATTTCTTTAGAATTTCAGATACGGCCTCCCTTCTTTCTTTGTTTATTCTAGATTTCTTCATAATAACTCCTCAATTTTGGGCTCCTCTTGCGGCCTATATGGAATAATGGCAGTAGGCCGCAAGAGTTCATTGCATACCTCGTCAACCACATACTTAGCCAAGGTAGGCTTGTTGCAAGCAGTGATTCCACGAGGTCTTCCTTGTCTATCCATGCCAAAGAAACGGATGGTTCCTACGTCTTCATCATAGTACCATGCTTCCACCATATTGGAATTGGCTAAGAATGGTCTGTTGTCAGCATAGACCACCTCAGTTTTGCCTCCATTCCAAAAAATGAGTCTTTGATGGAGAGAAGATGGAACACACCAACTCGAATGGATCCAATCACGTCCCAGTAATGCATTATAAGTTGCAGAAGAGTCTACAACAAAGAAAGCACTCATTGACATCTTGCTGCCGACAGTAAGTGCAACCAGTAGCACTCCTTTTGATTTGCTAACACCACCTGTGAAATCACTGATGGTTACGTCAGTATAAACCAAGTCCTCAGAATTTTTACCCAAATTCCTCAGCATAGAAGAAGGTATGACGTTGACTGCTGCTCCATTGTCAACAAGGACTCGATTCACTGGAACTCCATCCATGTGAGCTGAAATGTAGAGTGGCTTTATATGACGAGCCACATTTTCATCTGATTTGTTAAAGATAATTTGTTCTGAAAGAATATCATGTTCCTCTTCCTCTTCTTGGGCTGGAACCTCTATCACTTCTTCCTCAACAAGCATGCTGCCATTGGAAACATGGGTAGTCTCGCTGCCCTTGGCTTGAAAAACCAAAGGAAGCGTGAGAACCAGACAAGAGAGATTAATAGAGATGCTGCCGATCTGCAGAACATCCATGTCCTCAAGAAGATTATCATCGCCAGTCAACTCTGCTTATTGATCTACTTCAAAGGTTGCCTTCAACTCATTTTCATTCACGATCAGTGAGGTGAGCTTAGGAGGTGGCACTTTCAGCTGAGATTCATTTTGGACAGCAAGCTCTTGATTCTCTTTTCTCTTCCACACCATCTTTCCCTTTGCGGGAGAACATTGTGGAACCTTAACTTCCTCAGTAGCTAATTGTTGACGACGACGTGCCTTTGCTCGCTTTCGCTGCAACCTTCTTCTCAAAGTTCTAGGATTTCTCACAGGTTCTTTTGGAAACTTAGGATGCACGACCTTCTCCCACCTTTTACTTGGAGGTCGCTGTGGAGGCTTAACCATACAAGAGCGATCTGTATGTCGAGCCTCCTTCATCCTGGATCTGGATGCATAGATTCTGGTAGCATGGTGTTGCCCCCCAAGCCTCTGATTCTATTGGGCACGACGTTCCCTTTCCTTCTAAATCACCCAGCGAAGGTCATTTGCAGCCAAAGTTCGCCCTTTATATGTCTTTCGAGAGATGCTCCTTATGTCAGCAACATTAACTCCAACATCAACGTTCGGAAAAGGATTCTCATCAACCCCCATGGCTTCTTTGGGTTTCTCAGGGAAACAAAGCAGCCCTTTGTCAATCTTGTCTTGCAACACATTCCGAAAAATAACACAGTCATTAGTAGAGTGTTTCCAGGAGTTATGAAACTTACAGTAATCTTTGGATGCAATTTCAGCAACCGTTGGAAGCCTATGCCCCTGCGGCAGCTTAATATGTCCTGACTTTTTCAAATAATCAAAGATTTCATTTGCTTTAGTCACATCAAATGTGTATTGTCTCCCAAATTCATACGGGAGACGCTTTGTAGCCGCCTCAACCTGTTGAGTGACTTTCACTAGATTAGGACAAGTTACTGGCTTGTCTGCAAAGACCTCGACAACATCAAGGTCAAAAGCATCCTGATAATAAGTTCCTTGCGATGCTGCCTTTCTTTGGGATTCCTTTCTTAAAAGGTTCTCATAACGCGCCACCTTATAAGAGAGCTCAAAGAAGTCTCTGAATTCCATCCCCTCAAACTTCTTTCGAAGTTCAATGTCTAAACCATTCTGAGCAAGCTTCACGAACTCTTGCTCTAGTAAGGCAACATGACACTTCATCCGGGCTTTTCTAAACCGCATAAGATAATTTTCAGAAGATTCCCCTGGCCGTTGAGTTAGTCTAGAAAGATCAGCCATGGATATCTCAGGCTTTGAGCGGTAGAATTGAATATGAAACAAATCTTCCATTTGTCTCCAGGTGAACACAGAATTTTGCGGCAAACTTAGATACCATGTCAGTGCGGTACCAGTTAAAGAACTTGGAAAGAGTCTCAACTTCAAAAAATCATCACCCGATGCCTCCCCACATTGAATAGTGAACCTACCAATGTGTTCAATGGTTGACTGGCTTGCGTCCCCAGAAAACAAAGTAAATTCAAGCACTTTGAATCCACGAGGAAATGGATTATCTTGATCTATGTAATCTGGATACGGCTTGTGATAGGAAGGACGAACCAATGGTCTCAGAGCTGGACCATATGTCTCATGGACTAGATCAATTAGTTGATTTCTATCCAAGGGATGAGCTGCTGCTTGTAGCCCGAGTGGTTGAAAAACATTATTCTGCAAATTGGGCTGTGGGACAGCATTTGGACGCCGTGCAAGGGGTACATATCTTTGCTGATTGGCGTTGAACTGCTCAGCTGCACGGAATGCTGCTTCCACAGGATCTTGTGGTCCAAGGATGCCACCAGCAGGATTGTTCTGCTGCTGCCTATTGAAATGCACCTGGCCAGCACCAAGAGCATTATTTTGAGCATTGGGCATTTGTTGCACCACCTGTGGCTGATTAATATGCCCCCCGTGCCCCCCGGGCAAAGGATCTGGAAGATTTTGCTGTGGCAATTCCATTGCTGGAGGTATGGGTTGCCTTGGAACATTTTGTTGCTGTCGAACATGTTCCATGGTTCTCTCAAAAGCTGCAGTGAAGGTTCTGCGACTTTCTGCTACTGCTTCTCGAATAGCTCGAGAACTGTCATGAATGGCCCTTTCAATAACACTCAAACATTGAGTGAAATGATCTGAATGTTTTCGTTGGGTTTGTAGAAAGCTTTGTAGACTACGCTCCATGTTCTGATTGGCTTCCTCTTGTAGCTTTCTTATCTGCTGAAGTTCTTGAGATATTTTATTGCTTGACTCAACAGAATCAACTTTCTCCTCATCATCATTGCGATATATGGGATTGCCATATGATCGATCAGCTAAGGGAGAAATAGGTGGAAGATGCTTCGGACTATTTTCACCTTCAAAATGTCTTGGACTCACAGGAGCCACTTCCACTTGTTGTGCAACTTCTTTTCCAACTCTCCTAGGCATGGCTATGGCTGCTTTATGCCCAAGAAAAGCAAAAAGAGGATCAAAAACCTTTTCTTGATACACGATCGCCAACAGGAGGTCCCACTGGGTGTGCCAAAAAGAGATTGTTATCCCAAAAAATCTCCTTGACACGTGGCAGATGAAATGGCGTGCCACTTGCTTTGCTCAAAACAAGAAAGATTTCTCCGACGACCCT